CACATTTATTTTTACACGGATGGTAGTAAAACAGAAGATGGAATCTCAGTTGGCGCTGCATTTCTAGCTCCTCGTATTCAAGCATCTGGTACTAAAAGCGTTATTAAAACCGCGTCTATTTTTTCAGCGGAATGCATTGCAATAATAGAAGCATTAAAAACGGCCTTAAAACACAAAACTAGTAATATTTCTATCATAACGGATTCGCTTAGTATTTTAAAAACTCTCAACAAACCTAGTTTATCGTTAAAATCTAGTCCTTATATATTAGAAATTAAAAAATTAGTTTACTCTTTCAAAACTGGAAACACGAGCAACTCTGATGTGTTTTTCTACTGGGTACCCTCCCATATGGGTATTAATGGAAATGAAGCAGTAGATAAGCTTGCTAAAAATGCTACTTACATAGATAACAACATAAAGAGAATACCACCATTAGATCATAGTGCAGCAATTAGGAAAAATATAATGGCGGAATACTTTCATTACATAGAAAACTTAGGCAAAATTAAGGGGGTATCGTATTTTGAGCTGTGTCATACAAGGAGGGAGGTGCCATGGTTTAACGGCCTCAATATTTCTAGAAAATTAATCACTTTCATAAATCGATGCCGATGTGGCCATTATAACCTTAAAAAATCTCTTTTTAAAATTAAAATTGTGAATAGTCCTCAGTGTGAGTGTGGCTATATGGAAGAGGACCTGGATCATGTCTTGTGGCAATGTCCTAGATTTGATGAACAAAGAAAAGAACTTTTTAAACTTCTAAGTGCACATGATAAAAAAATCACCTTCCCCCTCCACATAAATTCATTTATAGGCAAACCAAACATACCAATTATGGCATTAATTTTGAAATTTATTATAAGTTGTGATCTTAAAATGTAATACAATTAATAATGTAAAAACTCAAATTTAAAAAACTAAATCGATTGTTTAGTACCTAGGAATCATGTAATAATTATAGAAAGCTGTATGGCCAATTAGGCTGGATGCTTTAATAAAAAAAAAAAAAAAAAAAAAAAAAA